AGAGGGTGGAGCAAAGGAGCCTCCTGCTGCCAGGACACCGTGAACTTTCCTGTCACAACAGGGCGATGAAAGAACAGGGCTCTGACCACAGCAACTCGGCTGTCCGGCAGGCTCCGGCAGGAGCTGGATACCCGCACGGAGGAGGGTGGAGGTTCCCTGAAGGACAACCCTGAAGATTTCTGCCCAGCATCTGCTGCAGCCTGAAGGAGGAAGAACCTCCTGGAGCCGGTGTCTCCTGGCAGGTCACTGGTAGCTGCTCTCTGCTGCGTTTCCTTTTGCTCTCACGTCTGTGGTCTGAAAGGGCTGGGTAAGACGCAGAGGACGAGGGTAGAAAATTCCTTTCCCTGTTTTGCTCTGATATTGCACTGTTTTTATCTTTTTGTTTGTTTTTGTTTGTTTTTGTTTTGTCAGTTGGCAAAGAAGCAGTCTTGCGCTGGTATAGCAGCTGCTGAGTTAACATGGTGTGTAGGTACTTGCCCACCAAGAGATAGGCTGAAACCAGGTGCTTCATGCAGGCAACTGGTACCTACTGTGCAGATCCCACCCTATATGGATTGGGATCAGTTAAAGCTTGGGGTCTTCCTGTGTAGGAGAAGCTGCCGCTGCTGTTACCGTGCCAGCGTGGCTGTGTCAGTGCTGCTCCCTCACTGACACGCCATGTGGTGACCGCAGCGCGTCTTCCTTGTGCCGCAGTTACGCCGCCTCCACCAGGCACAGGCAAAGCCAAGAGCTGCTGCTCTCTGCAAACCGGGAGGGTGGCTGGCAAAGCGGTATCAGCGGGACGGTGGGAAGTTTCCAGAGTGGTTGCTGGAAACTCTACACTGCGGAAATGCTTGTGCATTGCCTTGGGCTGAGGAGTGCCATATAACAAGCTGTTTGGGGCCTGTGCAGGCCATGCAGATACTCCTGTGAGGTGCCACACAAGTGAGGGACAAGTGGGAAAGATTCTGGGGCAGATCACTCAAATGTGGTGGACGCTATCTTCTCACTTCCTTTTCTTTTCCCCCACACTGGTGAAAGCAGCAGTGCTTGCCTAACTATGGGAGCTGTTTTTGTCCCATGGTGGCCACCACACACACACAGATCCCCACTGCCCCTAGCTGTCTTGTCCCTATCACTGGCCACCACCAGGGTAGATGACGTGTGGGTTCTTCCCTGTCCCATGTCCATGCATCCCATTGCCTCTTGGAGAGTGTGAGGCCATGTCAAGAAGAACTGACCATCATCACCAAGCTCACGTCCACAGCTGAAAAACTCTTTGTTTCTTTACAAGCTGAAATATTTCCACAAAACAAAAAGCATAGGCAGTCTGGAGACATAGGAGAGATAGAACCCGTGGAGAAAGGACACGCCAAGTTGCTGATAAAGACAGACCAGTGGAGATGGGTGTATTTTTAGACCTTGTCCCTCTGTTTGCATGTCAACATGCCCGCAGCAGCTGGAGGAGCCGGGTCTGCTGCCAGCCAGCCTGGGACAGCCTGCTCCTGCGGCAGCCTTCCCTGTTGTGAGCTGCCCTCTCCTCCTGGTGCCACCCAAGGGGGCATTGAAGGTTATGTCTTGCTTGACTGTCAACAAAGCCAGATGCATGACCCAAGCAGTGACTGCTTAGTAGCCTGCTAGATGTGAATCATGGGAGAAGATAAGCTTAAAAAAACACGTAGAGTATTCAGGGTTAGTTGCATTTAGCCTATAGAATAATCATCTTCATACCTACTTAAGGTATCCAAGTCCTCCCAAGTTAATTTAATTTTATTTTTTTTCTTATTTTAGCACTCTGTTATATCAAAAAGGAAACTAAATTATTTACTGGGGAAGAGCGCTGTGCTGTCTTTCAGCTTTGCCTTTCCCTTCTGAATTTCTCACCTGTGATTCCTGCTCAAAGTTGATCTGGCAATTAATACTGCAAGAATGATGAGTACAAAAGTGTTTTATGCAACAGGAAATGTCTGAAGGGAAATAAAAGAATAAACTGCACTGCTGTTACATGAATGATTTAATTTGTAATGAAACATTTTTTGAATGTTAACTATTACCCAAATGCTCTTTATTAGCTTGCAGTTAAACAGGCCTGTTTCTGAGGGAAGCAGAAAATGCTTTGCACAATGATCATTATGGTTTTTATTTCCTTTCCGAATTATTTTCCCCGCATAGTTCAGAAAGGGCCCGTTCCAAAGTCTCTTGAAGCATTGAAAAGGCTGCCCTCAGCTTCAATGATTTTTAGATAGGATTGCAAAAGAAGGCTTTGTTCGATATGTTCAGGCACAGTAGCAGCTCTATAATAAATTTGTTGCCTGACAACAGATTTGGATTTATTTCATTCTTTACATGTGAAAAGTTCATGTTTCGGTGGTGAGACTCTCCAAAGCCCATGGAGTCATCAGGCCTGGTAAGAGTGAAATTTTCCACAGTTTGATTTCTATGCATCACGTGAACTCCTGTCTCCGTAGAGGTGTCCTGACATGTGAAGTGCACAGCTCCACAACACAAGACCTGAGTCTCCCTTTGCTTTGGCTTTCACTTCCATGTAGTGCTCAATGCACCACTCAATTTATTTTAAAAGTATGTATCTCTCTCCCTGGAAGAGTGTGTAGAACTCTTGGCCAGCTTATTCTGATAACTGTTAGGAGATAGTACCTACCATTTGTTATACTGGCCTGGAAACACCTGCAGATGCATTAAATTCCTATGCTACTGAAAATTAAGGTACCCTAGGTTGAAGGATTTGTGCATTTGAGACCTCCGTTAGTCTCGTATATTGACACTAGGGCCCTACAAGGAAGTGAGCTCACCAAAAGGATCTTTAGTAATAAAGATGAAGATAATGTGAAGTGCTGTATGCTAGCAGTGATATTCCAGGAGTGGCTCTATCTTTTATACTTGTTTTGTAGACAACAAAACCTCCCAATGCAGCTCTAGACAAGGTATCTACTCGGACATCAGGTTTCTTATTCTGTGGTGTGGGGTGATCTCCCTCTCATAGTGACCTTTATTTTTAAGTAGAAGACCAGGGTGCTTAGGGAAATGCCCAGCTTCAAGCAGATAAATCCAACTATGCTGTGCGATCAACAGGGAGAGGATTTTTTTGATTGACCTCGTAATTGAAAATTGAAGAGCTTCCATTTAAAGAAAACTGTCCAGCTGTCCGGCAACAACCTATGAACAAGGAATTTGATTTTTAAAGCTAGGAAAATTGGGGGAGAAAAAAAAAAACAAGAACTGTTCCGGTGTTCTAAGTGCCAGAGGAATGAAATAGGATATGTTCCCCACTTCTGTCCTCTGCCTGGGAAGAGGGGAGGGAACAGGCGAGATGGATGACTTCCTTACCGTCCTTCAGATGCCTTCTACAGTAAATGGCATCTGTTGCCTTGTGCAGCCAGGATTTCTTTGGTGCTGAAGTCTGCTCCTGCCCTGCCTGAGCCGCTTGTGAGGAGCAGCTGAGTGTGTAGTAACAGGGTTACTCCTCGGTAACTTTTCTTCTGAGTAGAAAATCTAGTTGTAGAAAACCCGCTATTGTTATCAACCTTTCTGGGTTGTGCCCTTGGGCAAGTTATTCCTGACTGCTTATCATGGCAGCATTGCCTACGAAAACCTGGACCCAATAAAACATTTCTGCAATTAATAATTTACTTATCCCCCTGCATTATCATTAGCTTTTCTTAAGAGATAAAACTCCTTATGGATGCTACCCTTAACAGTGGCCCAACATCCCTTACTTAAAGGAACAAAGCCTTCAGCCCTCAGCTGTAGTTATGGAGTTACTTTATCAGGGGAAGAATTTCCCTTGCGAGATCTTGCTTTTGCAGACAAACTGAAGGAGAGAATAGAGAGCATCCTTTCTCATGTGTCAAAATCCATGACACATTTGTTATTTCGAGCAATCAAGGAATCAAGTTCCCAGCTCTTATTGTTGCCCCATGCTAGCATTCCTGGCCTGGCAGACCCCCTTTCCTGGGGAGTTCACTGTGTAGCTCCACCAGTCCCGTAGCTGGATGCAATCAATGGTCTCTTACGGCTATCGTGTCCTTCACTCCGTGTCTTTGCTCTTCTAGAGCACGGAAGTTTCCCACCTTCCTGGTGAGTGATGCTGCATGCAGTGCTTGCACATTTTTATAGGGTTATAGATCTCGGAGTACAGCAGGTTTAAAGGCTCTCGCTTGTTTTCAGAGTGCCCGGGTGCGCGAGCAGGCACGCCTGATTTGTTATTAATCCCAACAAGCTGCGTGCTGCCACAACACTGCTTGTTCTCGTCACGGACAGGACACGACAGGTTGCGACCGAGCCAGAAAGCTCTGGGTCCAGGCCACTCTGGGACAGTTTGGGGGCAGGAAGCATTTCCTTTCTCTGGTCTAGACCAGTTCAAACCTCAAAAGAAAAGGATTTCAGTGTCCTGTGAGGCAGGGGAGGTAACCTCGGCGCTCGGCTTGCTCGCAGCGCTGCGGCTGCTCCGGGACGGCGGAAAAAAAAAAGGTAAGCGCGGCTGCAATCAGCGCTGAGCTCCGCGTCGCCAGCGCAGCCAAAACGCTACGGCGACGATGGAATCGCTGAGCCGCTTTTATACCTCTTTACTGGTCTTTTGCCAAAACAAAGAACTTCGGGGACAGGGGAGTTTGTGAGGGCTGCCTCTTCGGGGTTGCCTCCTGCGTGAGAAAGAGGGTGAAGGGGTCTGCATGCCCCAGCACCAGCGTGGAAAGGGTTTTCCTGTTTAAGAGGTTTCTATTTTTTTTTTTTACTCATTCTAAATCCAGTCAAAATTTAGCCTGAGGGTTTTTTCCCTATGTGTTTGCAAAGGGAAAAAATAGAGTCCTTGTACCGGATGGATTCAATCAGCTTAGCTAAAATATTTCCAAACATTTTGTTTGTCATCTTTTAACTTTAAGACTTCAGACTCTTGTGTAAGAAAACAAACTGCTTTGAATGAAGCT